TTGATCTTTCAACCAATTTTCATCAAACTTAACAATTGCTTTATAAATGTATCTTCTTTTACATCCCTGGTAGCACACTGACAAAATGAATTTAAAAACTTCAAAATAAGTGCGGTCTGAAGTGGGTCTTCATGTCTTTGGCTAACTTTGATTGAATAAATACAGACGACTTCTGTTACATCAGTAAATGCATTAATTCAAAATGTTTTTTAATGAAAGTACTTAAAGCAAATGAAGACGATAGACTCTGTTACATCTAAACATGATGCTGTTTTTGCTCCATTCTAATTGAACACATTTTCTAATCGACCAGCTGCATATGGCTGCTAGTATGTTATATTTAGGAGATGCATGTGTTTTAGTAGATATTCCTGTTTTTTAAATAATGAAATTAATGTCTACTGGCCAAGTGACTGAAAGTTCTATTAGTGAAAATGTACCTCCTGACAAAAATCCCTATATTTAGTCGATAAAAGTGTTTGAAAAGACATCCCTTTTCATTTTAAACTTATACATCTGTACATATGTGTGCATGTACAGATATAGCTGTGCATGTGTATGCAGAGAAGTTAATGTGCATAAGCACTGTTATTGATTTGTATATAATGCAAATGATTTCAGAAACCTCCCCCTTCCATTACTGCAAAGCAAAATTAATGTACTTTCATCTATTTTTATTTTGTGAGAAGATGTATTAATGTAATGTAGAATATTTAAATATTTGGACTTTTAATCATGGAAAGAAAAAAAATATGGATTATGAAATATAGGTATTTACCATTTTATCCACTTTATGAAAGAATTACCAACATGATACCAATTAGATATTTACTTTGGATTTCAATATTATTATTCACATACTAATATGTACATATGTACTAAATTTATTAATTGCCTAAATAAATAATAAATATAAATATACATATAAATACCTATAATAATAAATACCAATATAATAAATATAAATATACATTTAATTATACCTATATGATAAATATAAATATACATATAAATACCTATATGTACTTATGTACTAAGATTATTAAATACCTAAATTTTTTTTATGAGGATGAACATTATTTGCTGCAAAAAATAAACAATGAATTTGTAAAATGCAGAAATCTATGCACAGACACACACACACACATATATATATATATATATATACATACATAGTTGTATATTTAGGTAACAATCCTTCGATTATGCATGTTTCATTAAAAACAACAGACAAGGTACTACAATTAAGCTTTTTATTTAATTTTTCTTGTGCTCAAACAAGAGCTTTCTTTTCTAGACAAAGAGTGTGTAAAAACTGTCCAAATGTTTTATATTTCTGAGTGCTTTTCACTATACCTTTAGCCTTTATCAAGGATGATTCGATTTTTCAGCTTAATTGAGTGTGTGCATTATGAGTATGTCTTAGTGTGTAGTAGGGATGTTTTAATTTCCAAATACAGTTAGCACATTGTGGCACACACACACACACATATATATATATATATATATATATATATATATATATATTTATTAAAGACATTTTTTATGTTTAACGTTGTTATTTATAGATACAAGTATTTAAGCAAATGCTCTGTTTATGATAAACAGTATTAAATAACATTTACTGGCCTGAATGTCCGAGAAATTTTCATAGAAAATATTCGTTCTTTGACAGGATTCGAACCTGCATCCTATACGGAACCGTCATTTACGCTGACGTGCCTTACCTCTGGGCCACAAAGAACTTTTTCGGTAGACAAGGTCGAATTTACAGCTTATAAACTTCAATCTTCCATGAATCTCGTACATTCATAACTGCTCTGGCGTATCAAATGTAAACAAATGACATCATATATTAAGAAATAGACAAGGTCCGACAATTTATTTATTAAAGACATTTTTTATGTTTAACGTTGTTATTTATAGATACAAGTATTTAAGCAAATGCTCTGTTTATGATAAACAGTATTAAATAACATTTACCGGCCTGAATGTCCGAGAGGTTCATAGAAAATATTCGTTCTTTGACAGGTTCGAACCTGCATCCTAAGAAACCGTCATTTTAAGCTGAAAATTTCCTTACCTCTATACAGGGCCAGTAAATTCGACCTTGTCTATTTAAAGGTTCTTTGTATCATAAACAGAGGTAAGGCACGTCAGTGTAAATACTTGTTCATTATGAATAAATAATAACGTTAAACATAAAAATGTCTTTAATAAATAAATTGTCGGACCTTGTCCATTTCTTAATATATATATATATATATATTCTGTTCTTGAAGGCATGATGTCAACAAAATTCCTTACAACTCAAGAACATTTTGAAGTATCCTCACAGAGTAAATGATGGCAGTTTTCTGGGGGGTCTGCAACCTTGGATTCAATTCCAATTTTCCCTGAACACATTTAGTTTCCTAGGTGGTTTTCCAAGTACACCCATTACTACAGGAATCAGTTCTACATTCATGTTCCGTAACATCTTCAGCTCCTGTTCTGGTATTTTTCTATCTTTTCAGTTTCTATGGAACAGTAAATCCAATAGTTTGATATTTCCTATTCTCCTTATCTATAACAATATAGTTAGGTGCTCATGCTTCAATGACATGATCTCCCTGGAGTGAAAAATCCCATAATATCTTCTAATTTTAATTTTCTGCCATTGTCTCTGGCTGCTGTTCCTACTACTTCTCTTTTACACTGAAACTAAACTTACGGTATATTTCCCAGTGTATTCTCTTACCAATCCAATCTTGTTATGACTTATACTCCTTCTGTGCCAACTTGTGAGTACATAGTTAACTGTCACATCAGCTGGACCACATATCCTACATTTATTTTCTTTTTGTGATTGCTCTATCCTGGTCTTGATTGCATTTGTTCTGATGGCTGGCTCCTGTGCTACAAATATATGTGACTGTTTCTCTTTAGAAAACCATTTTTTATCCACCAATCCACCTCTTTATTATTATTATTATTAATAAGTAGCAAGGAAAAGAAATTTATGTACCACCTAATTAAAAAATATATTTGAATAATTTTTACTAAGAATCTGTAGTTATATGGTGAGCAACTCCAGACACTATTCTTGTACAGCCACAGATACTACTCTTGAAAGTATATTGCTGAACACTTACAGCTTCTTAGTAAAAATTAAGTCATTTTTTTTTTAGCAAGATGGATCATTTATTTTGTTTGAATATATATATATATATATATATATATATATATTGATGCATGTTTCATTAAATAATATAGACAAGTTTTCTCTATTTGTTTTAAGTACGTTCCTTTCATATTGTCTAAGATTAATAACATTATCATTGAAAGACAAGCATCGTGATTTGCAAAAACTCAACATAGTTTACAAATTCAAGTGCCCTTTGGGAGATTGTATCTCCAATGGATTAAATAATATTTATGTTGGTCACACCACAAACTCGCTTTCATGACACTTGACTCAACATTTGAATGATAACTCTAACATATTTAGGCATTTAAAACAACATGCCTGGCCGCATACACAATTCCGGAAAATCCTTGTTGAAAACACAACTATACTTAAACATGAAAACAATAACAAAAACTAAAAATTCTTGAAGCTATATACAGAAAACAGTTAAAACCTAACCTGAACAAAATAAACTACAGCATCTCCACAAATATTCTTAAACACCTATAATTGATAACAGAAGCCATTGGTTTATATAAACAGCTTCCCATACTTAATACTTCTCATTTTCACTCTTGCGTGGTCATGTGTGACGTCACAAGCTGCGACACAATTTTCGCTTCCGTGTCTCATATACATGAGTTAGTCATTGCTTTGAAATTTTTTATGCAACAAAAACAGACTATCATTATTGTTTTGTCCGTGTATTGGTTGATATATTGAAATGTAATTGTCATCTTTGATAATAGCTTATGTAAGCCGAAAGCTTAGATTGGATTTAAACATGTATCAATATGGTGATTTCCTTTCGTCTTTCACTAATAATGTCATTAAACTTATCAGACAATATGAAAGGAACTTACTTAAAATAAATAGACAAAACTTGTCTATATTATTTAGTGAAACATGCATCAATGAAAAAGTGCTGCCTAAATATACAATAATATATATATATATATATATATATATATATATATAGTTTTCAACAAACACTGTTTAGTGTTCATGTTTTTAAACCAAGGTGCCTTTCAGCTAGCACTTCTTCAGGGGCCAATGTTGACAAGATTATTGCATCAAAATTGGTATGGATAGATAAGTAATATGGAGGAAGATTTGGAGTGTGTCTAAAACATGTAAATTAACGATTAAAATATATGTAAATTCATAAGTTGTACATACTCCAATGTGAGTGTAAAATATGAAAGAAGTTAATACTCACAATCCTCCAAATAAATGAAGTGACGGAAGAAAATTCTCCTTCTGCTTATATATATATATATATATATATATATATATAAAATCATATTTGTTTTAAATAGTAAACTTTTTCTAAATCTTTCATCTTCTGCTACCATTTTTATATCTCAAGTAATATATTATTGCATTTTCATTCTAGTATAAAGTTTAATGTTTAGTTTTATATAGCACACACACTCTGACACACACATGCACATGCTCTCTGACACACATTCACATATACACACTCACATAAAAAGGCACCAAATAATTCATATAAAAATATACAAATATGCAAAATTACAAAAAGCATTTACAAAATTACCCATTCAACAAAATCCTTTCTATCAAATAAGATGTACATATTTTAACCTCAACCAATCAGAATTTGACATCTCATATATAAATGCTAATATCTTTAATTTCCAGTCAATCAAATAAATATTAAGTTATTCTTGTCAAACAAAACTATAGTTAAATTAAAAAATGATCATACAACTGTAGAAAAGTTCCAGATAAGATTCAATTTTGTTAAATATTGCTGTCCTTCTCATTCATCAATTTTACACAAAAATAAGATCCGTGAAATGATTACAGGTTCTTTTTCTTGTAGAGCAGCTGTAATTTCAGGCTGAAAAAAGATAAAGAAGAGAAAAAGAAGCAGATCAAGATTTGTTGTGTCCAATATGAAAAATAATCTTCTTAGTCAATAGAAATAAATGTCTGCTTACCAGTTGGGTAATGATTCCATTTGAGATTTGATGGATTATTGATGCCAGGCAACATAGATTTTAAAACTCATATACAAATCCTTCTTACGAATCAGTCATGCACTTATAAAAAAAAGAGAATTGCTAAAACAATTATCAGTCTAGTAAAAATAACTATAAACAGAATTACTTTAATACTTGAGGGTATGACACTGACCTGCAAAATATTTGAAATCCTCAGCCAGTATAGCAGCCTCTCCTTACCTGGGGTTTCATTTTCCATCATTTCAATTACCCAGAGTCAATCCCAGAAATAGCTAAGCCTTGCTTAATACTTTATAAGTGCAAAGTTTGTGATGCTGGTAGTTTTGATACACCAGAAACATAAAATGCAGAGTTACCCCTTTTGTCTGATAAAGAACTTCTGCTAACAAACACTAAATAGCATTAGTAAAGCAGTATATAAAGAAATGGGTGTAAAGTCTCTCTCTCTCTCTCTCTCTCATCCACAATATGCTTAAGATATAGAATGTTTCAAACTATATGTCATTCAAATTCCTGAGCCAGTGCAATGATATTCTCTTGTCTGTGGTTTCATATTCCATGGCTTCACTGAAACAAGAAACACTATGTTTATGATCAAAATGCTATCAGAGTAAGCAATGCAAATGCAGAAAGACCTGTACATATTGTTCATGGCTAACATAAAAGCATTTTTATAAAGCCCAACACAAAGAGCCATTTGAAATGATATGAACACTTAATATATACATAAAAAATATTTGACTAATCTATAACCTTTACAGGGAACAAACAGTCAACATATTGATAGAGAATGAGTTCAGTGAATACAAAACAAAAACAGAAAGAGGATGTGATTTCCCACCAGATATATTTCACGTATGCAGTGAGATCATCCTAAGAGAAATAGAAAATCTATGAAGATTTATTATTGAGAGATTGATGGCAGTCTCAATAGGAAAACTGATAGTAAAAGAAAGCAAGAAAAAAGGACTAACTATTAACTGTAAGAAGACAGAATACATGGTTGTCAGTAAAAGATACAAACCAAGACGCAGGCAATGTACTAGAGACATTAAAATCAAACAGGTACAGAAATTTAACTCTCTGGGTAGTGTAGTAACAGACAATAGAAATATGTAACACAGAAAGACAAAGATGATTAGAAATACCAAAAGATGTCTTTCAGAAACTAAACAAAATATTAAAATTTCCTTAGAAACAAAGAAAAAAGTTTTAAATTGTTATGCAATAGCTAATCTTCTCTCTGGCATTGAATGTTGGAAAATCTCTTCACAGATGAAGAAGAGACTCAAATTGACAGAGAGGTGTTTCTACTGACAGATGCTAAGAATATCAAGAATTGGACATGTTAGCATCAAGAAATTTTTAAGGAAAATAGGATCTAAAAGGATACTTATAGTTACAATCAAAAAGAGACACTTTAAATTTCTGAGACATATAATGAGGAATGAGAGACTGGAAAATCTAACACTCACATGACATGTTGAAAGAGAAGCAAGGGGAAAATAGTGAGTAAAATGTTTGAATGGATCATGAAACAGCATCAAAGAGAGATGGTAAAGTGTCAAAGGTTACTTAGAGCAACAAATGACACGAAGTTGTGGAGAGTCATGAATGCTTAGAACCTGAAGAGTATATAAATAAAGAAAAGAATAAAGCAATAGTAATCATGCTGACATTTTTGCTGCTTTTTATCTTTAAATCTGCTGTCTTTGCAAACAAATGCAGGATCTTTTTCTTTTTTTATACTGGAATTTGCAACATTTTACTTTTGACTCATATCTTTTTTGTCTGAAAAAACATTTTAGTATCACAATCACGAGTCCCATAACTCATTGCAGTTGTAGTAGCAATGGTGTTTCCTATGTAAGACAGAATCTGATGGAGTCCAACTCTCTCAAGGCTGGTTTGACTTCAGAGTTTTTCTTCTCCTAGACTAGTGACAAACCCAGGCTATAGAACCCAATCTGTCTTGCTACTTACCTATAGATGGGGGGGGGAGAAGAGATGGATTCATCCCTTTCCAAAGGGTATTAGCATGTAAGTGAATGTAATGAACTTCATTGGAATTTGAACTCAGCTCTTCGATTCTTGAATCCGAGCTGCCCTTCATTACTCTACCATGCATCCTATTTAATATAGAATACATTTAATATTAAAAAAAAACAACATGTCTCTAGGTTATCTGATTACCCCAAAAGAAAGCTGGAGTGATAGGGAAATAAATAAATAAAACTAAATACTAGCAAGAAGACCAAAATTTCACCATCTCTAAAAATAGATGTATCATAAGAATTGCCAGGCCACAAAGCCATATTTCAACCAACCAATCAGACAGTTTTTACAACCACAATAAAAAATAATAACAAAAAGACCAAAACGTCACCATCTCTAAAAATAGATAGTTCAATCAACCAATCAAAAAGCTTTCCTAACCAGGATATATGGCTGTGAGCCAATGAGAAGCAAAGCAACGTTTTTGAAGTGGATTTATAGATATGTATATAACCAGATGGAAAATCGACCAAAACCAGAATTGATAAACAAATTTTATTCATTCTCCAATGCTGCAGCCATTGTAAAATAACCAGAGCTAAAATGTGATATTTGAGCAACCAACTGGCAACTTGGGAAGGCTATACTATCCTGCTACATGTAAGAACATGTAGCCTTTCTTTCTCCACCTTTTTAAGCAGCCAGTGGCTACAATTGACAAAAAGCCTATCTTCCTTCCTCCACATTGTAAGCATTTGAATACATACATATACATAATTACATTCTCTCTCTCTCTCCCTCATTCTCTCCCATATACATCCACAAAATAAAACCATAAATTCTCCAAATGCCCACTAGATGGCATTGTCTAAGAAGCAATATAAAAGAAAAGGGCTTTCTCTCTGTTCTCTCTCTACCCAGATACGGTAGGAACAAGACTTATCTTATTTCCTCTCTAGGGGAATTTTTAATCCCTAGCAAACCATGCGTCAGTTGGTCACACAATACAGCATACAAATACTCTTAGCTGATAACTACCAAAGCAGTAAGAAACCCTTTTCCAAGATAAGTTTCTATACAACTTCAATAGGATTTTACATGCACTGTATTTATGAATACATTTCAATGCATAGACTTCCATTAAACTTTTTTTTATATTCTTCCTATTTAGTTTTGCTAAGGCAATAAAATGTTGTTCTTGTTATATGTACAACATTATTTGTAATTTCATTCCTATCTAATTTAAGAAAAAATAACATGCAACCACAATACTATTACTATACTATCTCTCTCAAATAAATATATAGCTTATCACTAAATACTACCCTTTCAACAATAAGTAGATCACTATATAAAATGGTAAAGTCCACTACAAAGTCTAATTTTTGAATAGTGCATCTAAAATTATTGTAGCGAGTCATGATTAAAATAAGGCATTTGCGATTTCCTTTCTCTCTTTCTTTCCAAACCTCTCTTTTTATACTTCTCTCAACTAATGAGAAGGCAATCCTCAAATAAAAAGAGAAAAAAGAAGAAAAGACTGCACCTGGCCCAAAAACGCTGGAAGTTTTCAGGATCAGAGCCTACTAATTTATGACTGAAAAATACCAGAAATCTGGGAGGCTCCACACATAACTTCCATTAAAAAATAAATGAAAAGGAAAGGAATGCCAGAAAATAAAATAATTTTGTCCAATCAAAAAAAGTGACACAAAGAAACTTTTGATGTTAACCAAAACCAATGTTTGGGCCAGAGTCTCAGAGCCTGGGTAAAAGGATATAAGCTGACACCTCTCAGCCAGAAGAAGGAGGACAGTAGGAGAGACTGGAACAAAAGAATGCTACCATAGAGAAACTAGCCATGTGTGTCAAGTGAAGAAGTAGTTAAGAGGTCATTTGCTATATTTCTGCCCTGTTTAGGACCAACAAAAACACAGAGACTGACACTGACCTATTTCTAATATTACTACTACCCCTCTCATGGTCTGACTGAAAAACAATACTACTGGACTTTCTCAAAGCTACTGCCACATAAATGACAATTTTGCTACACCAAATACTAAATGACAAACTCTAAAGAAAATAAATAAAAAATATTCATTTTATACTCTTGAGTCACATTGTTTTATTCTAAAATTTCCAGTAAAGAAAATCCTACCAGCTATATACGTTATCAATTATCATTCCTTTTTCAAATAAAAGAAGGTTTTATTTATTGAAAACATCTTCAAATTTACCTGTACATTAGGCAAAATTTCAGAAAGAGTACTTCCAAAAACTTCTTGGACATCATTTCTGGTAATATGTTGGAGAAGTTCTAATGATTCTTCAGTGGGTGTTAATGCATCTTCAGGAGGCACAACCTGCAATATAGATTTAATACAATATATAGACACTAGTAACCATAATCTGTGATGTCATTGATAGGATTTATGAAACAAATACATCAACCTTATCATTTACGCTCATGATTATATACAGAGTGAAAAAACAAAAAACAAATTCTGGTGGTAGGGAAAAAATGGAATAAATCAGCTTTATTTTCATTCTGGCTGAATTTGAACCCAGTAGATAAAAGCAATATTCAGTTTTGTTTTATCCTCCTGTAGTATGCAAGTAACTTTTATATTTCTGCTTTAATATGAACTGTATAATTAAATTTTTGTTGTAGTAAGAGGTCTTCTATTAAGTTAACACCATAGTAAGAGGTTTACTAATAAGTTATCTCAGTAGAAAGAGGTTGACTATTAAGTTATCACTGTCGTACAAGGGTTACCATTAAGTGAAATTGTTTTTCTGCTGCTGGAACACAAATGAGGAGGAACAGAATGAAGAGCAGCAATGGAGAGAAACAAAACAAAGGAAATAACAGATCCACGGCAGAGGTGACAAAGAATTCTACACAGGAATGGTGCATATAAAGGTATTTTCCCAAGACTTCCCAACAGGGCAGGATGTGTCACAAGGCCGGTTTTTTTTTTTTAACATGGGACATTCCAACCCTGTAGGCTAAGGCAAAAACTCACCATAGACCCTGTAATAACAGGGCCAGGTTTGTTTACCTCCCCAGATAAGACTCTGCCCTTCAGCATAGCTTCATCTGGGTTCCTCTCTGCCCAGAAGCAGAGAAGTCAACAAGTAGTGTATATCAAACTCAGAGGTTTGATATACCACTGGAGACTCCCTTTCTCAACAGATATCCATCTCTTTATATTGAGCCCAGAAAGATCAATAATCTTGCATTGCACAATGGGAATCATTTGCATAAACAAATTCTAGGCAACCCTCGGCCCACTGCCATGACCGTATTTTTTGCAAGAGGACATTCTTGTGTTCACACCGGCCATCTTCTCCTGCATAAGCAGCACATCAAGTGTTGTCTTTTTGATCAACAGGGATGGGAAGCTTCATCAAAGGTAGCCAGCAGTTCATCCTACCTTTCACTTTCACTACATTAACTTAACACTGTAGTAAGAGAGCTACTATTAAGTTAACACAGTAGTAAGAGAGTTACTGTTACTCTATCACAGTAGAAAGAGGTTGACTATTATCACTGTAGTAAGAGGTTGACTATTAAGTTATTACTGTAGTAGGAGTATTACCATGACATTTTTATTGCAATATGAAGGCTACCGTGAGATTTGTAGGGTAGTATACAGTTTACAGTTTATTAGTATTTGGATCCCCAGTTTGTAAATAAATAAGGCAAGCTGCACTTGTAGGGAAATTTCACTAAGAAATATAAATATATTCAGAACCAGTTCAGCATTGTCAGATCTCTATTTTCCTACCATTTCATTAGAACATTAAAGAAACAGTTTTGTGAATATAATCAAAAAGGAGACTGGGTCTTTAATTGATTTAGAGATTCTTTTATTCTTTGAACATTGTGTCTACAACAGATTTGGAGATGCCTTTGACACTATTATTTGGTCTTTAGGACTACATCTGAGTAGGAGATGCCCTTGAGGCTACTATTTGGACTCTCAGTCTACAACTGAATTGGATATGCCTTTGATACTTCTATTTCGATTGTAGGTTTACTACTGAATTGAGGATGCCTTTGAGGCTATTATTTCAACTATGGATTATGAATTGATCTGGAGATACCTTTGAGGCTACTCTTTAGCTAAGGTCTACAAATGATTAGGAGATACCTTTAAAGTTACTATTTGGATTCTGAATGCCATTATGGCTACTCATTTGACTAGGTCTAAAACTGATTAGGGGATGCCTTTGGTGTTACTATTTGAATTCTTGGTCTAAATTTGATTTGGCAATACTTTTGAGGCTACTCTTTGGACTAGGTCTACAACTGATTAATGATTTCTGCAATACAAATAGTTTCCCATATGTAAGAGGCAGGTAAATCCCCAGAAACATGAGGCCTGTCAGTGGTTGGTAGTTTTATATCATTCGTCTGAGTTGATTACATAGGGCCAAGGAAAAAATTGTTTCATGTTTTTTACAATATAATAAATAACTAATTAAGTTCCATAACTGAAATTAGATTCCAGATTCTTGGAAAACTGAACACAAATTTAACTTGATGATTTTATTTTTTTTTACTATCATGCACTCAATATAATGCCCAAGAGGCACTCAAGGTAGAGGGTTACTAAATGAGGTTGTTATAAGGGCATACAAGGATGGAGCAAAATATGAGAATATATAGGATAGATATTGGTTGATCCTAGACTTGATGAGGTTAAGATTGTAATGATCGAAGATGCATACTCTCAGGAGTCCATTCCACAATGTAACAGTTTTGAGGAAGAAGGCTTGTGAGTGGAACATGAAAGGAATGAGAATGAGTTGACTCAGTGTACAAGGTATGGTCTGTGAAGGTCTGAACTTGTGGAATCAAAGAATATAGGTCATCTGAACATCTGCCATGAAAATAACAATATAGTAGTAGTAAGAAGCTAGCAACATTTTGTCTCTGGGAAAGGGGTTGATGGATGGAAAATAATTCATTACCCACAAGGCCATGTAATCACTTTTGAATTCTGTCAAAACTGGAAAGTGAGAATAGAGTAGCTCTATCCCAAATGTAGCAACAATACTCCATTTTTGGTCTGAAATATAACTGGAAATTCACTTTACCTACTTGCCATCTATCTCCTGGGTTAGGTAAATGGTTTAACAAATGACTGATTTTAGGGAAAAAATTCCAAGTTGTTTTCATGAAAATTGTTTTCAAGGAGTTTGAGATCCATGTTGATTTATTTAACAAACATCTTTCTTTTTCATGATTTCATTTACCTTTTGATCTTCTTCTGAATTTGGTAAAATTTCTTTATATTTATTCAGTGTTGACTCAGACACGGCTTCAATCAAAGGAGGAGCAAAGAAACCATCAATTGCATTTGGTGTTTCAATTTTCACCTGAAAACAACAGCAACAACAAAAAATAGATATAAAGTTTTTATCTTACCTGCAGAAATAAAATCATTCAAAATTTAATTATTTTTATTTTTTTGCATAGTATATGATCCACATCAGAAATACCCATCAGAATCAATTTAATGTCAATAAGGAATCTTCTTCCATGATTACCACAGTATGTATTGAACTCACTCTAAGAGATACCAAAGTAGAATTTACACTTAGTATCACACCAGATCATCAGAGTCGTCAGGTGCATCAGAGTGTTAACCAGAATGGTAACCTTACAGCCAACAAGTGTAGGTACATGCCTCACAGGATGTCAGTGGCTGTCACTGGCATATAAAGAAGTTGTTTACCCAGCTGCATTTAGAATGTGCATACATGAGACAAGTGGATGACAGGAAGATATATATACATCTCACCCAAGTGGAAAAAGACAAAGAATCTCTCATATCCTTGCAAAAAGATTCATACTTGAAGAAAGCCCCAAAGTCACACACACCCTTGCACTAATATTAATTGATGAAGTTTGGAGGTGAAATGTTTCATCCTGTGATTGCATTCATTTTGAAATATTTCATTTTACAGACACTTAAAGATGTAGTTCACTTTATTTAAATAAATATATTTTTAAATGAATTATTACCAAATGTGTCATGCCACATAAATTCTTGTGGGTGATCCTTTATATACAGAAGTAACATTATATACAGAAGTAACATTATATGTCTGCATCAAAAAGCTGTTTTGTTATAATGAATGAATAGCTAGCAACATGACCTCTAAGGAAGAATGAAAAGTTCTGTGTATTTGTAGGTTCTACTCAATACTCATTTCAAACATTCTTACACTTAAACACAATGCATTACTTTCACATCTTCTTCACTGAAAGGGATCACTTTAACATCTTAACAAATGAAAGTTATCACTTTCATATTTTCTTCATCAAAAGTGATCACTTTCACATCTTCTTCACTGAAAGGGATCACTTTAATATCTTAACAAATGAAAGTTATCACTTTCATATTTTCTTCATCAAAAGTGATCACTTTCACATCTTCTTCACTGAAAGGGATCACTTTAATATCTTATCAAATGAAAGGGGTCACTTTCACATTTTCTTTACCAAAAGTGATCATTTTCACATCTTCTTCCCCAAAAGGGATCACTTTAATATCTTCTTCACTGAAAGGGATCACTTTCACATCTTCTCCACTAAAGGGATCACTTTCACATCTTCTTCCCCAAAAGGGATCACTTTAATATCTTCTTCACTGAAAGGGATCACTTTCACATCTTCTCCACTAAAGGGATCACTTTCACATCTTCTTCCCCAAAAGGGATCACTTTAATATCTTCTTCACTGAAAGGGATCACTTTCACATCTTCTCCACTAAAGGGATCACTTTCACATCTTCTTCCCCAAAAGGGATCACTTTAATATCTTCTTCCCCAAAAGGGATCACTTTCACATCTTCTCCACTGAAAGGGATCACTTTCACATCTTCTTCCCCAAAAGGGATCACTTTCACATCTTCTTCCCCAAAAGGGATCACTTTAATATCTTCTTCACTGAAAGGATCACTTTCATCTTCTTCCCCAAAAGGGATCACTTTCACATCTTCTTCACCAAAAGGGATCACTTTAATATCTTCTTCACTGAAAGGGATCACTTTCACATCTTCTTCCCCAAAAGGGATCACTTTCACATCTTCTTCACCAAAAGGGATCACTTTCACATCTTCTTCACCAAAAGGGATCACTTTAATATCTTCTTCACTGAAAGGGATCACTTTCACATCTTCTTCCCCAAAAGGGATCACTTTCACATCTTCTTCACCAAAAGGGATCACTTTAATATCTTCTTCACTGAAAGGGATCACTTTCACATCTTCTTCCCCAAAAGGGATCACTTTCACATCTTCTTCACCAAAAGGGATCACTTTAATATCTTCTTCACTGAAAGGGATCACTTTCACATCTTCTTCCCCAAAAGGGATCACTTTCACATCTTCTTCACCAAAAGGGATCACTTTAATATCTTCTTCACTGAAAGGGATCACTTTCACATCTTCTTCCCCAAAAGGGATCACTTTCACATCTTCTTCACCAAAAGGGATCACTTTAATATCTTCTTCACTGAAAGGGATCACTTTCACATCTTCTTCCCCAAAAGGGATCACTTTCACATCTTCTTCACCAAAAAGTATTACTTTTACATTATCATCTCTAAAGTCTAACAGGAAGAATGTTAAAGTGATCCATATTTTATCACTTTTATCGCAAAATATCAACTGTCTGTTTAATGTTCTTGTTGTATTTGAAAGAAACAACCACATTTAAATAAAATTCACTTTAAATTATGTATAAAATATTTAAAATGCATGCAAAATAATTCTAATAAAAATAAGAATTTCATAGACTCATTTCAGTTGTCATCAAGCCATGTAAAAGCATTTTATACATGTGATCATTTATACAGTGACATTGAGATCTTCAGAGGTTGATCAGACAAAAAGAAAAAGAAAGAAAAAAAAGAAGGAATAGGAAAGAGTCTACTAACTGGATGATAATTGTTGAAATTGGAGGAAGATGAATTGAAAAGTTGAGAAGAAAATCAGAAATGAAATGCATTGAAAAATCATGTTTTTGAAATAATTCCAAGGGGAACCAAACCCAAATTTAACTTGATGGAATTCAGTAAGATTGATCAAACAAAAAGGGGAAAGAAAGAAAGAAAGAAGAAGAAGGAAAGAGTCTACTAATGGGAGGGTAATTGTTGAAGTTCAATGGAAGATGAATTGAAAAGTTGAGAAGAAAATTAAAAACAAAATGCATTGAAAAATCATGCTTTGAGATAATTCCAAGGAGAATTGGACCCAAATTTAACTAGATGGAATTCAGTAAAAATGTACAAAACCAAGACTATCCATCACTCCCCACTTCCCACTGATAAGAAAAAAAACCATTATGGTATCCACAAAGATATCAGATAAAATAAAAACATATACTGATGAAAAAGGAACCAGGGTGGTTGCCAGAATAAATAACATTCATGATTTCTCTGGAGAAAAAAGGGCCAGAGAAAACAATCTACTTTGAATCAGCCACCAAGAAGAAAAGTATTCCCACAGGCTGACTGGATGCATTCATCATTATAATTTCTGTGACATTCGTCCAGAGAAAATTTTATATACAAACAATAATTCAGATTCTTTTGGATACAAGTAGTAAGGAAAAATTAAGTACTATTTTAAAGTGACCATGAACAAAAATGCTAGGTGGTCTGTTTGATCATAAAAAAAATGCATAATACAGAAAAAGAATAAAATTTTGTTTTAAGGAGAATGGAAATAGTTTTTCCTTTCCTTTTCCAATTCTCAAATGGTCTGGTCAATTGAGGGATTCCAGCATGGGGTGAGCTGATACATTAGGATTAATGACTGAAAATCCCTTTTGTTTTCACTGCACCATCTGGAAATTGGATTTGTCACACCAGCAGGTTGAGGTTGGCTTCTGAGAAAGTGGGAAAAGGAAGAGAGAGAGATTGGCACTGCCTATATGGAGTAGGAGTGTGAGGTGAACTGTAGAGAGAGTTGAAGATAAGGGGTGGTGTGATACCACTGACCACTCTCAAAAAGGGGCTGGATAACTCCAAATTTGGAAAACCAGCAAACCACTTGAGTAAATGTATTTTTATATATGTAAATTTAGAAATGGTTGATGCTTAGGGTAGAAGACAACTGAACATAGACCCTAGTCAACCCCACCCCTGCTGGATATAGGACTTCATATAAGCCAGAGATTTTGGACAGTCACAAGAAAGAGAGAGACACACAGAGAGCCCCCACACTACTGCTATTGGAATCCACATCGTTTGCTGAAACCCCCTGACCAAGACATTGTGGTGAATCAGAAGGCCAGAACTTATAAATTTAAATTACTACTAAAATAAGCTACAGACTTTGTAAGGGGTCCCAGTGTCCTTTGATTACAACAAGTGGAAGGGGTTAAAACTGCTGTATGTAACAAATCATATATAAACCAAATCATTGTTACATTTTTAACCCAAGTTAATTCTTTATTCCAAAGGATTTTTTTTGTGTAGCTCCCAAATTGTCAAGCCATCTACATTTTAGTTTGCTTTATCAGCAATCTTCTCCCCGACTGAGATCAAAAACACAACGGGGCAGAGGAGAGAATGGTCATGAACAGACACATGCCAACTAAGTCGAGTGGAACTGTGCATACTGTCACAATACCAGCAACAATGTGTCTTGTGCTAACAAGTGAGGTAAACACAGTGGTCTTAGGGAACTTGAGGACAGACAACTGGGTGACATTATTGTTTACTGCTGAGGAACTACTCAGTGGTTACTTAATTAGTTACTGTTGACTAGGGGCTACCTGCATGTATATTTAAATTTAAATTTCAGTTACATTTCAACCCTGACCATGTCAAGCTGAAAATGTCTATGGAAACAAAATATACATCCTAGTGCTACAATATATATCTCCAAACATAAACATCAATGTAGCTTGTGATGATGAAGTTAAGAAACTTGTAAAAAAAGCTAAAGAATTAGAAAGCATCACTTGATACTGAGGCTGTACTTCTGAAAGTAGTGTACCCTCTCCTGAAATTTGGAAACAACTTTCTAAATTTCATGAAGGAAGTCTGGAATAAAAAGCATGTCCCAAAGCAATGGGATATATTGCACATTAATGGAAACAAGAAAACAGAGGTATCCCAGTTAGATCCGTTATGGTGAAAGTAGTAATGAACATTATGTTAACTAGACTCAAACCATTTGATGAAAGTCAACTCCACACAACCCAATTTGTTTCTCATAATATTTTTCCTTCCAAATTATATTGCTGATAATGATTTTTTTTCAAAAAAGTATTGCTGGTAATAGTTAACTATTAGCCCATAACTGGGACCCTAACAGGTACTACCACCCCAGGTCAGGGTGGAGCTGGGAACACCAGCAATTAAGAGGTGGTTCTATGCTCCTCAAAACCTCCTGATCAGAGACCTTGTTTAACATCTTACCCAGGACACATTCTGGTAAGGGATGCAATGATGGCATATATGTCATAATAAAAAACTCCAGGAAATTGCATACTTCTCCAATAGAAAATTGTATACCTGATAGGTTGATTTCAGAACAGCATATGACTTCATCAATAAACTTTTTCTCCTTATTCATTGGAAACCACTTTTCCAAGCTCTGAATCTACTGAATGTCTAGATCTAACAGATGAGTTATATAGGTCAACAAAGTTGTACGTGTCTAGTCAGAACCCCAAAGAAACATCCTACTTTGAACTTTGTGGGCTGCTACTACAGAATCGCAAAGGAAAAAATTTACCAGATAACAGAAAAAACAGCCCTTGAGGTCTTTCAACAATAGCTACAACTAAAAATGATAGCATATGTAATCCAAAGAGAAAATAATAGCATGACTGCTTGATTAATGAATCCTAAATGTTTCCTTATAAAGAAACAGATAATATTACCATTATTATTACCATATATAATGAAAATTCATTGCTAATGATTTTATTATATAAATGGATTGAAAATCTGAAAGAAAAGAATTATCAGTGATCAGGAATTAATGTATACCTTACAGAAAGAACAGAGTTATTATATATATATATATATATACAGGGTGCAGCTGGTATTTGAGGACATACAGATTTAAGATTAATACTGCTTCCCATTAACTTCTAATGCTTTTATTTTTCAGAAATCAAGAATGGCAAACCCAATGATAACAAATGAAATGAAAAGGCATGTTGTGATTGGGGTATTAAAGGCTGATGATAGCGATTTGGATATTGAACGTTTCCTCAAAGTTGTAAGATCTTTTGTCCACAAGATACGAAAAGAGTTAGATGACACTGGCAGTTCCCCAATGTCTGTATCAAAACGTAAAAGATATTCTGCATGTTCTGATAAAACGAGAACATTTGAATTTATTCAGGAAATCAAGTAGACAATTGATGAAAACCGAGGTCAATCAATGAGGTCAATTGCCAAAAAGCTGCATGTGTCTGAAAAAACAATCAGAAGGAGTGTTCATGAAGACATTCGATACAAGTCCTACGTAATGAAGAGAGGTCAATCTATGACTGAAAAAACAAAAGAAAACCATTTAAACAGATCCAAAAGGCTTTTAAACAAACTTAAAAATCCTTCAGAAGCTGGTGTGATTTGGTTTTTCTTAGATGAGAAAAATCTTGATCAAGATCAAAAACTTAACAGAAGAAATAATAGATGACTTTGTTCAGATCCTTCTGAGGTGCCATGAGTGATGTACACAAAATTTCCGTCAAGTGCTATGCTATTGGGTGTTGTTAGCAATGAAGGACATGTTATGCCACCAAACTTTTTTCCACAAGGTCTTAGAGTAAATGCTGCTGCTTACATTGAGGTTCTAGAAACAGTTGACAAGCCCTGGATTGACAACATACGCAATGGCAGGCCTTACATATTCCAGCAAGACTCGGCTCCATCCCACAAGGCTCTACAAACACAAGAATAGATGGCTGACCATTTGTACAACCACATCAAACCCAACATTTGGCCTCCTACCTCTCCAGATCTCAATCCACTAGACTATTATGAGTATAGCGTTGTTGAGAAGGAGGTTAATAAACAGCCTCATAACACCAAAGACTCTCTTTAAGCTGCAATAGTTTGAGTAATGTCTGACATAAATAAGGACCAATTAATCAGAGCTTGCAGCTGATTTCAACCTCATATAGAGGCAGTTATTGATACTAGTGGTGCTTTTATTGAATAAAATTAAATAATAGTTAGATAAATTTCATATTTACTTGTTTGTAATCAAATATAGTTATATTCATTTGTTCAACAAGTTTTTTACTAATCTATAAAATCTGTCCTCAAATACCAGCCACACCCTGTATATATATATATATATACATATATATATAGTAACATTGGTGGTGTTTCAGCGTGGGATATGGTTGTAAGCCTATAGCCATATCTCATTGAAACACCAGTTCTCATCTGATCACCAAAGTTAAACAATGTCAAGTCTGGTCAGTGCTTAGATGGGTGACTGCTTGGGAATACCAGGTTCTGTAGGCTTGGATGTGCAGGCGGTGCAATGGACTGCAGCTCAGAATGAGACATCAGAGAGCCAAGTGGGAATTCCAGTTGACTTTGTTACATTCATTTATGTGTAAATACCCCCTCAGAAAAGGTATGAATTGATCTCTTCTCCCCCAGCTATGAGTATATGGCATGACAGAAAGGACCCTATAAACATGGTTGATAACCATTCTTGGAGAAGGAAAACACTGAATTCAAAACCAGTTGAGTGTGAGGCTGGCAACTCTAAACCATAAAAGGCATATTACTGTGGAAACAACAGCATCAAAACCAACCTGGAGAGGGTTGGTAAAGCTTCAAAACAGCATCAAAACCAACCTGGAGAGGGTTGGTAAAGTTTCTTATAGGAGTCAATGGCTAACATGCAGCTTGGAGATAAAACACTCCGATTCAAAAAAAGCCTGTGATTATAGCATCATCTGACATGTGACACACAGTGTACCAGTAGAGGACATGATGCTATGATGGATATAGTGCACATTGCATCACACAAGCAATTAACTAATTTAAATAATTCACTTGCAGGTTGTTCAGTAAAAGCTTAAAATTTACTGAACCCTCATCCAGCATTCTCAATGGGAGAATCCATCCATATATTAAGATTTAATTAGTTCTTACTTGTGTCCCAATAAGTTCTTCTGCCTGGGTGTGGGTGAAAACATATTCATAGAGAGCATAGTGCTGAAAAAACCTGCAAAATCAAAGGAGAAAATAAATTGGAAAAAGTTCAAATTACTTTTGAATTTCTTGCCTGGAGCAAAAAGTACGTTGCAATAATAATAATAATAATAATAATAACAACAATATCTGGTAATCATTTTTTTTACTTTTCCACAAGATAAACTGAAAAAAGAGATTTTGATCAAAGTTATTTTCTGATTGATCTATGTAAGTAGTTTGTCTCGGGTAAAATATTGATTAGAACACACTGTTTAAAAATAAGTTGCCATTGATTTTTTTTCATGTTGTCCCAAAACATTGTGAAAATAAATTACTACTCACATTATCACTAACTGACAAAAGTTTTAACTGATCCATAATCTGAAAAACTTTGAAGCCATATTTAAATCGAATTTAAAAAATGCAAAAGTATTTGTAGTTAATGACCACAAATTTGAAGGATTTATCTGGAAATGTTTACTTTTGAAAATAACATTTTAACACATTGACTGCCAACCATGAGATAACACTTGGTTGTGAGTTTTATTATGATGTTAACTATGAATTTTTTCATACCGACTATGGGTTATACTTGGCATTTTCTGAGAAATTTTAATCTGCAGACGCCAACATCAAATTTATTCACAGTAATACTTTTTGTGTGAAAACAATGTTAAGACTTCAGTTGAAGCTATAAATCAACTCATAAAAAAATTTTATTACCTAAGTTGGCCATTATAAAGTTGGCATTTGAAGTCAGATTTTGTAATTGACCTGTAGCAGTCAATATGTTAAGTATATTACTCATCCCAAAAACATAATTCACCTTGAGAAAAACTTGAAATTTTTATCTTTAAAAAATCTTAAAATAAAAAATCTTTAAAAAGGTTATCTTAAAAAATCCAGAACATTTACTGTAAGCAAAATGTCTGCATACAGATAGAAAATGAATTGAATCAGTTGAAATTTATAGGACATATTGAAGTCAAAAAGGAAGAGCAAAACAGTAGGTAACCTACCCAATGAACTTGAGTAAATGAATGGCAGGACAAGGATTGGGAGGGTTAGTCAGAGTAAAATATTTCTCAGAGCTACAAAAAATAGGAAGTTGTGAAGGGACATGGTACAAAAAAGAAAAAAATTCACTTGTGATGATTATGGTTTCTTATTTCAATTTCACAATGGCAGCTTTAATTCATTTCTTTTATTATTGTACTAAGAAATATAAATAAAAATATAAAATTCAAGTATTTTTGTAATATCTCTCGCTTGGCTGTTATTTGTTAAACAATATGCTATTGAACTTTCTGGGGCGAAATGAGGAACTGTTGACATTTTCAATTTGTTAGTAACAAAGCTACCATGACAAGTACTGAAATGATATTTTGACGTTTTCATTTTATATCTGTTGTTTAGAGGTCAATTGCTTCTGAGCGGTCTTTTTCTTTTACATACCTTGAGGACATCGGTGATCATGACTCTTCACAATTTACTATGAATAAAAATGAAAAAAAGCTAAATGTCTTATTTTGAAAAATCAGATTAAATGCTTAACAGTAAAAAATTAATTTGAAAGTTTAAAAAATTTAAATATGCAAAAATAGGTTTTGCTTTCAGTGAACAAATAAAACTGCTTGCAATTCATACAAATAATGACTAATTATTATTTTTAATTAAGCAGTATACGTTACAAAATAATTTTTGTATGTAAACTTTTTTTCTTTTTATGTTTCTTTAATATCAATTGATCTAGAGAATATTTGAAAAAATTTATTTACATGCCTGATACAAAAAAATAATTATAGAATTTCGGGAGAGGATTGAACATATTATCAATGGCTTGCAACATCAGAAAATTCATCAATAGTCTATAGTCAACTATAGCAAAATACTCTCAGTTCATTAGTTTATAATGAAAGAGAATCAAAGTTATCTAAGGTCAATAAATTGAATTTAGTTCAAATTTATAGATTTTCCTGATCAATAGTTTGGATATGAAATCAATAGATTGCAGACCAGAATGTTTTGATCTGGTTTGAATATCATTAGAGACCAATTTACTCACTTTTGTTTAAATATCTGATTTACATAAAAATTAATTTAACTTTTCTATTATTGTTATAAACAGAAAACAGGTTCCTTTGTTTTTTTCTTTACATGCAGATTTGATCTGATTGATCATCAATTTTCAGTTTGAAATTCAGAAATTTGCTTTTACTTTCTTACTGACTTGAAGCACCAATTCCAAATTTAGGTAATCAGTCTGAGAAATGCTTTCCATGCAAGATTTTGAAGAGAAATGAGGCAAAAGTAGATAATCGGTTTGCTTTTCTCATTAATTGAATCCATAAAGTCATTTTATGTATAACAAAATGAAAATATTTTAGATGAACAAGATATCTTTAAATTAAACCAAATAAATAACACTAAGAATGTGCATAGATTTTAACCACATAAAATAGTACAGTAGTATTGGTGAAGAAAATCTTTAAAATTCCATATAAATTAAGATATGGTGGAATGAATGAATTAAACAGATTCAAATTATAGTGGATACATTATTAGAACATATTGCATTAATTAATCAGTTTCAGGCAAAATAAAAACCTCTTTTTAATGAAATTTATTAATAAAAGATGATATCACTACTGTGTGGATATTTATTAAAAATAAAAATTTAATTAACTTACAATTTCCAGAGAAAAATAAAAAAAATTCACAGAATGCAAAACATAGCAAATTATTAACCTGCAATTTTCCAGCATTTAATTATGTATAGTTATTAACATATTAGAAATTACATATTCTTCAAGAATTGTGCCGAGCACTTTTCTGTCAATATTTGTGCAAATTTTGTATCTACAATTATGTTTGTACAGGAAGTATAAATAAAAGAACAATGTATCAAGTCAGCATTCAGACAGTCTGGATGATAATATGAGTAGCAGCAGGATGTAATAGTCCAAGTCAAAGTTATTAAGAAATCTTTTTGTATCTAATCTATTCCGTTGTGACGTCCCTAAACACAGCCTTCGCTCGCTCCTCACTGCTTCGTTCGGGTGTCGCCGCTCCAAGCATGACGTCTGCCTGTTTGTGTCAGTCGTGTTGTCCCGTCCTGTGACGACCAACTGGCTTGGTATCGGTCGTGGCACCCAAATGTGACATTCTAACCTTTTGGTGATTCGGATGGGAATCTGGTTAGATTCGATATCAGCCTCGTCGTTCCCAACTCGCTTCCAACGTCTGGTTACCAAAGTAATTGCGTTGATATCCAGTCTGCCTACCCACGTTGTGAATTGATCTTAGGCAGACGAAATCAATCAGTAGTTGGGGCCGTAATGCAAATCGAGTTCAACGAGGGTGACACCGCACAAATATGCGCAAAAGAAAATAAAATGATAACTCAAAAGTTCAAGGTATCAAAGAAAAAAAAAGGATAACAAAACTTTATGTCTATTTGCTGGATACATAGGACTGCGTCTATCTCCCGACCCGTTATATGGATTGTGACACGTTGTTTGTTGTTAGGCGAGTTTTAACACTTTAAGTTGTCTGTTCTTCAAGAAGTTGGTTCTTGGTGTGTCTTCAGGCGAAAATCGAAAAAAAACTTATTTTGGTGGTCTGGATCTAAGTCGCTCTTCAAAATAATTGTTCTTGGATTGAAGATGAGTTCGGAAGCTGCGCGAATCTTAAGTCAGCTTTCTGCGAGGCTGTCTCAGAGCTCACAGCTCAATTGTTTGCCTGTCTTTTTAACCCCAACTGAGCTCTACCGATTTCTGCTCGCTGCGACTTTGCTTATATGGACGCCGATCAAAACCGGGGTGGGTTTGTCGACGTCAGAGGTTCCTCGATAATTCTAAATACATATCCACTTCTTTTATTTTTGGTTAAGAATTTTCCACTTCTTTCCATTTTTGGGAGTCTTCTCTTACTCCCACCTTCTCACCATACTTCAGAGGGGCGTCAACTGTCCTCCCCACTTCTTCGTAGCAACCTCTCATACCCATCCTCTAGGTGGGCGACGACAGCTTCCCTCCTTGCATCACGTGATCACCACTCGGCCAATGATGTTCAGCCGGTCGTGTGCGGTCCAGCGGGCTTTGTTTCAGGAAAAAAAAATATATCTTGCTCAAAAAAAAAATTATCTTTTTCTCTTCCTTTTCTTTCCTTAATCGCAGCTCTCACCTTCTCTGACCGCCAACAGAACAATGCGACCAGTAGTGTCATAAAATCTATTCTTCATCTGGATCTCGTCAGTCAGATTTTCGCTAATTATCAGAATGGGTGGTCAGCAAAACATCGTCCTCTCGAAAAAACAGCTCCATTGTTCTAGTCATACTTTGGCGCAAATTTCTGATAACATAGTTCTGTTATCACAGCCAATGATGTCTTGTCAAAAAAAAAGCGGTCAGTTTACTTCGTGTGCGGCTTAGCAGACGACACAGTTAATTTTTTATATCTATCTAAAGCCCTGTATTTCACCTGTTCTTTGTCAATTATCAAAATAACATTTTCAATTGGAGTTTTCTTGGCTAGTCGGTCTGTGGTTTGCTAATTAGATGTTTTGCCCAATTACGCGGCTGTTATCTATCCCCGATAACACAAGTTCGTCGCCAGAACATAGTCGATTCCCTTATCCACTTAGAATTTTTCTGCCATGGTAATGACACTTTTCGCCATTTGCTACTTATCAAAATAACATTGTCAATTGTCTCTGGTCGTGGGTGTTTTTTTTATCATTCATGCTTGGGTCTCACCTCTCTTTTCCTTTCTTTCCTTTCTCTTTTTCCTTTCTTTTCTTTTTGCCCTGGTAAATGGTGCCACACCGTCATATGAAAAACTGACTTTCTAAGAAGAAACTGATTGAAAAAAAAAACTGTTGTAAATTATTGTGATTATTCCTGAAATATAAACATTTTGAATTTACACTGTATCTTCTTGCTTCTTTTCCTTTTCTTTTTCTTTGTGGATGAGTTGACTATTTCTACAAGGCTAAATTTTCACACACACCCCCACAACTTTCCATAGTACCAGCTACTTTCTGTATAAGCATATAGGACACTTTGCTGTGGATCAGTGGCTAGTAAGCTATTCTTATAGACTGTTAGTACTGTTGTGAGTTTGAGCCTTATTTGGTGTACTACATTTTAGCTTTGTGTTATACTAAGCAAAACCTTAGTGAAATGAGTTGCCCTATGAGGAAGTAGTGGTTAAAAACTAGTTTTGTAGACAGTTACCATTACAGTGAGTTCAATCCTCATTGGTTACTTCCCATTTTTAGCCTTATACCAGACTAAGCTGCCACTTAGTAATTATCTAGGTACCTCATCATGGACTAATATGAACTTCAGTCATAAATAATTTCTGCTTTATTTATCAACAATCAGTGTTATTCTTTTCACTGAGAGTATATGTGAAACACAAACACTACTTGATGACTTTTCTCATTTTTCCTAAGTGCCGACATATGGTCAATTGGGATGCATTTAACTGAGTATTTTGCCATGGACTGATGAAAATACTTGTGTGGATTCAACTTCCATTGATGTTTCTCCAGAATAAAATTTTGCAAACCAATTTTGTATTTGCTGGTCAGTTATGTATAATAAATATGTATGTTATAATATAAACCCAACATATTTTTCTTGATGTCTTTATAGCATTATTCTCTTGCTTGAACACCCATCATATTATGTGCCATAAATGCACTTTCAAATCCCTCCATGAGTTGGGTGAAGAATTTTATTCTTTAATCCACTGTGTAGAGTGCCATTGATGTACAAAATCTTGAGTATGTTACTCTACTTGCATTTTATTCTTAACTGTTATGTATGTTTAGACATTAGGATTATACATCCGTCATTACAGTTTGTTACCAAAAATGGAAATTACTTCTTACTCAACCAAATATTTAGAAAGCTGGTTTCACAAATTATCCCTTTTTTTGCAAGCTGGATCCTCACTCTATAAAAATACATGTATTTATGTGTGTGACATTATCTATTTTTTTTCTTTTTTCAAGTATAAATCAAAATCTGTGGGCTAAATATCAGAGGCAACCAGTCTAGGAGAAGGAAAACTCTGAATTCAAAAATACAGAAGCCAACAGGAAATCACTCTAATATGTTTCCAAAGGACTAATTGTTGCTAGCCCAATATCATTTAAATGTTCTGAGATGAAAAAGCACCAGGCCACTAATTTGTGAGTCATTTTTAATTAATTAAATATAAATTGACAAAATAAATTAGAGAGATATATCCAATAACTGCTAATTACAGATTTGTTTCCCTTGATTTATCTGCATTCTCTACTCCTTCAGCCATAGTGGCATACCAGTGATTATGCTTTAATAATAATAATAAAAATAATAATAATTAATCTTAGTGATAATTAGCATTTGCAAATAATTATAATATAAACTTTATAAATAGAAAGTGACTTGACATTGCATTAAAGCCATCAAAGGCAGCATTTAAGTGAGTTTTAATGAAAAACTTTTTGCATAAATACAAACAAAAATATGTTTTCTGGTGACTGTTTTTAGAATACAAATAGATGACCTTATTCGATCATCAGTTGAGGTAAAGTTATATTCTTTTTAATTTTTAAATCAAGTTCATTAAAATGTCACCTGCAAGAAAAATAATATTTTGAATTAAGATATAATGAGCTTAAATGAGAAACCATTTTTTTCTCGCCTTCTTTCTCATGGAAAAAAAGCTTCAAATAAGGTAATGGATGAAGCAACCGTTAAAATAGTTTTAATGACTGCTGTAAATATAGAAAATAAAAAAATAGTTGATTTAATCAGCCTAAATCCACAGACATATGTCATAACATTCATGCATGCAGATTACAGATTAACATTTAAATTTAATAATGACATACACAATAAAGAGTAATAAAGAGCTCAAGAACAGACAAACAAAAGCAAAGATTTGTTCAGGAGATAAAAACCTTCTACAATCATAGATACAAAAAACACAACACTCAGGCTAAGATTAAATAATATACTTCCATATGGAAAGATGTAAATTGAAAATCAGATTCTCTCTATGTAATACTCCGTCTATTTAATATAAAGTCTGTGATTGCATGTATGCTTGCATGCTTGTGTGATGCATGTGTCCAGTACACAATGATTTAAGTTAATCTGATTTTAAAAAATATTTTAAGTGAATAAGATTTAAAAATACGAGTTGTTCATATAGTAAGTATTTTTATTTTAACTTTTTTCAAACTAAGAATTTTTTTTAATTAAAATATTTTCTAAGTTAAAGACAAACACAAAGAGATCACGCATTGTTGTTTCATCCAGTTGTTTGTAGAGTAATTATTTAAATTTCAGCTTTCTTGAAACAAACAATATTTTAAATATTTAAAAAAATTTTTTTAGCCTATTTAAAAAAATATTTACAAGTGAATACAATTAAAAATATTTTTTGGCATATCAAAAAAATATTTTTAAGTTAATCTTATTTAAAAAATATTTTAAGTAAATAAGATTTAAAAATATGAGTTGTTTATACAGCAATATAACAATTACTTTTTGCATTTTGTACAAGTGTTCACATATGCCATAAATAAATGCTGTTACTGGAGTTCAAGTTTATCCTGGACGTTCTATTCTTATTAAATGCTGTAAACAATCAGTAAAATGTTAAACATGAACTTGTAAACTCGACTAATAATAACACAAGTGAATTGAAATATTTAACTGAATCATAATAAAATTAACTTTAATTTCAATGGAATGTTGATATCAACTTCAATGTTTTATAACCTGAACCATCAGTTACCCAATGGGTCACGGGTAGTCTAGTCTAAAATAAGCACAGAAGGTACTCATACACAAAAATTAGTTCATAACACACATACACAGACATTTATTACTTCTTTTGTCATTTGTCATGTTCCTTCATGACATGAACGATAATAGCTCTCCACAACTTCCTATCCCTTGCAGCTGTAAATAGTTGGCTCCTTACTATTCCTCCCAGTCCCTGAGTTTCCATTCATTTATACAAGCTCATTCACTATGTAGTTTATTCACTGTTTTTCTCTCTCCATCTTGCCTTCACTATGTTTTGTGAGTGTCTTATTCTCCAAGCACTCTTTCTTAATTATGTGTCCCAGAAATTTCAAGTGTCTCTTTCTGATTTTAAATGTAAATGTCTTTTTTGTTCTCATTTCCTTAAAAGATCTTCATTGACCACATGCTTTGCCCACAGTATTCTCAGCATTCTTCTGTAGAATCACATCTATTTTTTCCTCAAGTCTCATCTTTATCTGTGAGGAAATTGTCCGGCATTCACTGCCATATCAGAGAATTGATATTTCATGGCAGTTGAGCACTCTTTTTTTTTTGTTTCTAGTGAAAGGCAACATTCACTATTGCAATGCACATTTGGATTTCTGTGTCACATATTCAGTTTTCTGTTAACCTTTAACACACTGCCTTATTAATATTACTACTCTTTCTGCTGCATTCTTTTTCAAGGCCTCTCAATTGCAGTATCATTATTGTTAATTTTATTCAAAATTATTTCCTGTTGCCATAGCAGGATATGACAACACAACTATGAAATTCAAACACACTATACTGTTCAGGAATTAGAGTCACCTTCAGTGGCAGGATAAACTTTTTGTACAGCAAATGAAGTCACATCCAGAATGATAAAGGTTAAAAAAAGTTCTCATTACTATACACAAATATATTCACTCATGTATACATAGATGAAGACACATATATTGACTTTTATACATGCACACACATGTACTCATACATATACACAAACATTTACAAATACATACATATATTTATTTTTACAGACACACATACATATATTTATTCACACGTGTACAGGTATACACACATATGGTGTAAGTCCAAAAATGATTCAGTCATTTAATATTGATGACAAAGTAGCTTACATAGGGTAATGACGCCTTAGTAACTTTCAAAGTACTATCTTTGGTACCTTATATAATTAGCCCAGCATCCATTCCAATTTAAAAACACTCTGCAAAGTCCTATTTTAGGATTGCTATCAGTTGCTTTATTACATTTTGTTTAACCTCAACAAAATGAAACATCTTTCCTTTCAACAGGAATCCAGTAGTAATTCTACCTTTTGGTTTACAGTCTTATCACATTAAAACACCAGTTCCTATACGATTACCGAAGTTAAGCAACATTGAACCTGGTCAGTACCTAGATGGGTGACCAGTTGGCAAAACCAGGTGCTGTAGCCTTTTATGTGCAGGTGGTGTAATGAATAATGGCTCGGAATTGCTAATCAGAGAGCCGAGTTCCAGTCCCCATTGGGTTTGAAATATTTCTGTGCATAAATATCCTTGAGAAAGGTATGAATTCATCTCTCCTCCCACCAGCTATGGGTCAATTAGTAAGACTTGTATCACTAAATCATTATTATCCTCAAAAACTAAAAATTATTATAATCTAAAAATAGTTTATGGCTTTAAATAACCTATAAAGGGTTGATAAGCTGTAGAAAATGATTAAATCAATCAAATTCTAGCTTCCAGGGAGCTAAATCAGCATTGTTGCATGGCTGACAGATTTGAGTCATGCTATGCTGTATAAAAAAAAGATCATGCATGGGATGTGAGGATTAGTGAATCAGAATATTCAAAATGGTTAGGTTTTTCCTGGACAGTTGATGAAATCTCCAAATCTTCTAATTCTCACAGCATTAATTGCTTGATTTAATGACTTGTCTGTTTAATGGCATATCAACACCTTTATGTGTCATTTAATGCTGAAATTTAATTTCCTTGCGAGCTTGGAAGTAATAAAAATTTATGTTATTCTTCTTTCACAATTGAATACATGGTAGATGATACTCAACTTTTGTGCATATACATGTATGTGTGGACTTACTAGAGCTAGTGATATGTGTTTTATGTTGTAGTTTTATTGAACTTATATTTTAGAATACAGTTTGAGTCAAGAAATTGTCGGATATTATATGAATTAATGTCATGAAAGAGTTCATGTTGCTTGTTTGTTAGTATTTTAAACAGATTTGGGTGAAGTTACTACAGTTTTTTAGGATGTGCATATTGTTGGTAAATCTTTTTATATAAAAATGCATTGCTGGTATTTTTATATTTTCATAGTGTTTTGCTTGGGGGTTCATTATTTGCCCATAGCTGAGACCCTAACAAATGTTACAAGCCTGGGTCATGGTAGACCTGGGAATAACAGCAACTGAGTTGGTCCATGCTCTAATCTTCTGATCAGAGGCCTTGCTGCCAGATGTAATTTATCATCATACCCAGAACTAGCATAAACTGCTGATTTCCTTTAAAACTTTTAAACTTTTTTTTTAAGCATTTCACCCCAAGCAAGGTGAGAGTGCCACTAGAACGCAAAGGGTTACAGAGATTGAGAGCAAGAGTAAAGAGGCATGTTTGAAGAAAGGATATAGAGAAGGACAAGGATCAGGATCAAGGCATCAGAAGAGATCAATTGACATTACATTTGAATATATGAACATTATAGCTATCAGGAAAACAAGTAAGATGAAGGGAGTTCCACTATCAGGAAGTGAGAGGTAAGAAGCAGTTGGAGTAGAAGAAATGGATACATTTAACTGTTTTGACTGTGAAAGGGTGGGACTGGGATGCCAACCTAGTAGCACACTTAAATTCATGCAGTTTGGGAATCAGTGAAAGTAGCTCGTCAGAGCAGTTGCATATGAAAAATAGTTGTAGAAAAGACAAAGGTAAGCCACAGCACATTGCTGAGAGAGAATGACTGTAGTTGAGATGCCAGATCAAGATCTGTCACATTGTATATCCATCTTTGATTTTGTCAAGGACTTCAAGATGAACAGTGAGGACATAAGACCATATATGGGAGCAGTATTCAAAGCAAGTATGAATGGTTTATTTGTAGATTCAAAAGATGGACTCAGGCAAGAAAACCTTCTGGCATAACACAGAGAACTAACTTTCCTTGGGGTAGATGAAGCTATTGATTCATTGTAATTGTTCCACCTTAGGTCAGTGAAAAGCGCAAGACCAAGTTGCATACATTCAACATTTTTAGCTGTTCAGCTTACTGAAAACCTTCCAGGACATGCATCCCTTTGAATGAATTCCAAGCTAAATTGAATTATTGATACCAAAATCTCATCTGGGTTTCATGCTGAAAGACTTCTTAATTGTTCAAATAGTTTCCGCAGACAAATGTCCAAGTTTCAAACAAAACTTGATGCATATTCATTGTCACAAAAACATGAGAGCTCAATGAATAGTGTTCATTGCTACTGTATAACCTCAATGGAGAGTGCCTGTTTTTTCTTTATGTGCCATAAGCTCTTGTTTGATTGATTGTCATGTTACTTCAAAACAATGCCAATGTGACTGATTCTTGCAATATTCAAAATGACTTGATAGCTTCCAGACAGACTTTATATATTCATTTGCATTGTTAAATTCTCTGTATTTAGGCAGGAAATATTTTTTGAAGCAAATATTACTAAAAAGAACAGACATTTTCGTGATGATTTTTTTTTTTGTTTTTTTTTTTCAAATTATGAATAATTTTCTTCTCAGGAGGAAAGTCCGAGAATTTTAAGAAATTTGAAAAGGCAAAAACTGATCTATTGTCATAGAATCGCTAGTTCCAAACAAATTATTTATAGTCAATTAGTATTATATATATTAACATAGGCATAAAACACACTTGAAACAAAACATTCTTAAATATTATATTTAAAATTACTTAAAACACTGTTATTTTCTCCAAAAAATAAAGAGAAGTACATAAAATCATTGTTTATTCTAAAATGGCGGTTATTTTTTTTTTAAATCTAATTGTTTATTTAACCAATATAAATTATAAATCGTTTTTATTTTTTTAATTTTATTTTCTTTATTTATTTATAATATAATAAAAAAACAAATATCACACACCTTTTCAAATTTGTTTCGGAATTTAATTAAAGCAAGCGGTCAATTTTGTAAATCGTTGTTTAAGATTCATTTTTTAACAAAAATTTTTTGGCGGGACCTTATTAATTTGAACTATTCCATACGTATTTAATGCATGAATTTGATAGTTCAATCCGAAGTTGGGCGACCGGCTCTTTTTTGAACTTCCATTTTCGGGCAACAGTAAGAACGTTTTTACACTTAAAATTTTATTTTTTATTAGGTAAATTGACCCTGAACCCATTTATATTTTTCCGTTTTTGAAATTTTAGGTTACGGGCTAAAATTTATTTTCAAACCGGCAACTGGCCAATGATATCCCGATCTTTTGACTAAAAATTTAGATTTGAAGTCACATAGCTATTTTTTTCCTCAAGCGAAAGTTTACAAATTATTGGTTGTTGAAACAGCTCATGTACAGACAATTATCTTCAAGACATTTTGATGTGGTCGAGATTGTTGTTTTTATTTCCCCTGATTGTTCTTACTAACTCATTTAAAAAAACAAAAAACAATGGAAACATCTTCACACAATGATCTTTGAAATTGTAAGGTGCATGATTCTGGGAAGTTTTAAAAAAAAAAATTAGTTTGAAGAATATTTTTCGTTCTTTATTCGTTTGTTTTTACGTTCTTGAATTTTTTTTAGTACGGTGGGCTGGTTGTTAAAAAAAAAAAATACATTGTTTTTTTTTTCCTGTTTTATGGCCTTTTTTGAAAATTCCGTGTGGTGAGTATTCTTCAAACTGAGTATTGCTGTAAAATAATCTTTTATTCTAAATTTAATTTTTCCGGCGTTTTGTTTTTTTCTTGCTCTGTAAACCGTATGAATATATGGGCCGTTTAACATTGCTAAAATAATTAGAGTTTTTTTCGTTTTATTTTCTTAAAATTTGTTAAAATCATGCATTTACAAAGATATTCAACAAAAACACAGTAAAAATCAGCTACAGTTGTACCAAGAGCATGGCACAAATAATAAAAAAAAAGCACAAAAGGAAAATTATCAACAAACCACACGAACAAATTAAACCCACGGGGAAAATGCAGAATAAAGAACGAATGTCCCTTAAATGGAAATTGTCTACAAAAAAATGTAATATACCAAGCCACGATAAAATCACCAGATAAGGAAGAAAAAAGCATACATAGGAGTAAACTGAAGGACCCTGAAGCAAAGAAATTATACACACAAAACATCGTTCACAACAGTAAATATGCGAACAGTACTATGCTTTCTAAGTATATCTGGGAAATAAAAACAAAACGCACATCACACCAAAAAATATCTTGAAGAAAAGGAAAAGTCATCAGCCTACAACAACCAATCAAAACTTGCAAACTTTGCTTGGAGGAAAAAAATATTATCATTACTTTCCCCCACCAAAATAAATTATTAAATAAAAGATCTGAGCTCATCTCAAAATGCAGGCATGAAAATAAATTTTTACTACGTAACCAAAAAATGAAAAAAATGAAAAAAAATAAAATAAAACAAACAAATACACTAATAAAAAATAAAAATAAATAAATAAATAAAATAAAATAAATACTATGTTGCTTAAAAAACCGAAAACTAAATAGAAAAATATACAAATAAATTGACCTAAATTCATCCAAGTAAATAAATAGACAAACCAATCCCAAATTAAAAAAACTGTTCCCGCCAAAAAATAATAGTTAGAATGAACTACAAACAACCAACCCCAAAATTGAACAAATAGCTTTAATTAAATTCTCAAAACAAAACTGTTAAATACGTGATATAAACAATTTTTACTACGTTAATAAATAAATAAATAAAAAAAAATAAAAAAAAAAAAAAAACGAGCAATATAATTTGACCCAAATAAATAAACAAAGCGAACTTCCGGTAAAAATAACCGCCATTATAGAATACCCAAAATGCACCACTAACCCGTATATATATAAATAGCCGAAAAATAACAGCATATGTGGCCTGACGATTGCATATAACATGAAACAGACTGTCGCCTCTAAGTGTTGACTTCTATGTTCACTTTTATATTTACACACGCCTATCTCTGATATTGAGCACTTTTATTTCATAAATATAGCACACCATAAGACTATATATTTATTTATATATATATATATATATATATTATAAACATATATTATTAAATATAACAAGCAATGAATGTCTATTATGTCTGATCATTAGCTGTTCTAGTGTTTGAATGTTTGCTTTAATTTCTGGTGATAATAAAGACAAAAATTGTCCAACATTTGAATATTTTTTTATAAAGTTGGCCCTAAGCAAACAA